TCTCCCCAATATATGCAGCGCTAGGCACACTTTTGGCACACACCACTTGGCTGGAAAACTGCATAGCAAAATTCAGAGAAGTGTGAATATCAAAGGAAGGCTTCGTTTCAGGCCGCATATTGTTTCAGGAAGTGCAAATGAGATAGATTCACCTTTAAATGTGAACCACATCAAATACTCCCTGATCCCCAGCGAGGCACATTCCCAGGTAAGTGGGTATAGACTTTCAGTTTGTTCTTAATTAAGCACATCTTGCTGCAAAAAGATCTCAGGTTGCGGTACCCAGGGCTGCAGGAAGAGAGAAATGCTTTGAACATACAAGTTATTCACTTAAAAAGCTGGTGCGATTGAAGGTGCCATCATTTTATTACCAACTCTTGGCAACAAAAGTGGATTAAATGTTCTACTGGCACTCTCCGAGGTTTGCCTTTACACCTTACGTTTGTTAAATATTTTATATGCATGTCTAAATTAGGAGTTTTCAAATATGTTCATTGTGCAAGTGAGCAGCTTGCCTACTGAGTGCCTACTACAGGTGATGTGGTTTAACTTTCTTCCCCACAACTCTTCCTATCCACAGGTGATAGTAATAATAATAATAATAATAATAATAATAATAATAAATAATTTTATTTATGCCCTGCCCTCCCCAGCCAAGACTGGGTTCAGGGCGGCTAACACCCGATAGAAAAACAAATTGACTGAAATACAACTTAAAAACAAGTTTAAAATACAACATTAAAACATTAAAATACAGCCTCATTTCAATGAAAACTCAAATCAAAAACTTTTTTGGGGATGGAAACGTCAAGTCTTCACCAAGGCTAACTATCCAGACTAGTCCTTGCCACTTAAAGCTCTTGCCACTTGTAAGTAGAGGTGTGTTGTTTTTTGGTCCACTCTGTGTTCTTTGCATGCAGCGCCGCTTCTATTCCACTGCAGTTCATCTTCTGCCAAAAAGCCACGTTATTCGTTTTGCGGTCCACTGTGACATAATCACGTAACATATGTTGTTGTTGCATTATTTCCCCCAATACGTTTCCATGCAAAGGAAACACAATGCGATCGGGAAAGGATGCACGATCTATTAAGTATCAATTGCGGACTGAAAGCAACAGCAGCGAATGCCAGTTGCAGTCAGAAGATTGATTGCCATTCCGGACATAGGGCTGATAAGTAAACTTCAGCAATTTCTGCTCCTGTTTCCATTAAAATTCTCTGTAGGCTAGGTTATTAAAGGCAAATGGAGCTCTGGTGTTGTGGCAACAACAGTCCGTCAGTCTTAGTCCTAGATAAGGGTAGTACTTCTGTCCCAGTTGCACCCAGTGGTCCACCTAGTCCAGCAACCTGTGGGAAACTCGCAAGAAGAACCCGAGTGCAAGAAACCATTCCCCTTTTGTGGTTTCCAGTAACTGGTATTCAGAAGCATTTCTGACTCCAGCCATGGAGGCAGAGTGTAGCCATCAAGGTCAGTAGCCACTGGTAGCTTTTCCCTCCATGAATTTTCTTTTAAAGCCATCCTAATTGGTGGCCACCACTGCTTCAAATGGGAGGGAGTTCCATAGTTTGACAATGCATGAAAAAGTATTGTATCTGTCCTGACTCTGCTAATGTTCCATTGGATGCCCCTGAGTTCAAGTGCTCACAACGAGGTGGCATCTGAAGGGTTGCAGGTTCTCTATAAGAATGTAAGCTATACATTTGTTGAGTCTCTGTGTGCAGCTGGTAACCCTGCGAAACAGCCCTGGCTTGAATGAAGTTATGGGCAATGAGCATTCACACATGCACCTTTCCCTTTGCAGTTCAATGACCCCTTGCATTCCCCTGAAGCACCGCAGAGAGAGCCTCCAGAGAAAATGACCACACATCCATACTAGGGCCAGGGCCTTTTCAGTACTGGCCCCGACTTGGTGGAATGCTCTGTCACAAGAGACTAGGGCCCTGCGGGACTTGACATCTTTCCACAGGGCCTGCAAGACAGAGCTGTTCCGCCTGGCCTTTGGTTTGGACTCAGTCTGACCCTTATGTTTCCCCTCCCCTTATGGTTTTCATCTATGGGCTACTTTTAAAATGAGGCTGCATTTTAAATTGCATTTTAACCTGTATTTTAAATTGGTGGGGTTTTTTCCTAGTATGATTTTGCTTGGTTATGTAAGCTTTCAGAATGTTTAGAATTAACCAAATTGACAGATATAATAAGACAAAACCCAAAAAGTGACGTGAAAAAGGAATGGGAGTACCTAAACGAATACCTTAAAAGCCAAGGTTCGAGGACAGAAGTCTGGCTGGGCCTGGAATAACCTTGTGAAGTGAAAGGAGAAGAAAGAGGGGTTTATATCTAGATGCTAGGATAGAGAGGATTAGAAAAACAGGAAGATACAATGAGAGGTTAAGGAGGTGCTGTGGGATTGGTGGAAGTCAATGTTTGTTTTCCTTTTTAGTGTAGTGTTTATATTATTAATTTGTAAGATTTGGATTTGTTTTTCATAAGCTTGTTTTTGTGTTTTGTGTATTGTTATTTTCCATTTTGTTGTTGTTGTTGTTGTTGTGTGGAAAATACTAATAAAATTTACTATTTTTTTAAAAAAAGGATGTCCCTATTTTCATGGGAGAAATGTTGGAGGGGACGGTGCTGTGTCTTGGGGTTCTGCCGCCCGAGGTGGCTACCTCAGTCTGTCTCAGGGGTGAGCCCCTCCCTTGTAGAGCACATGCTATAGCATGTGTGATAGGAATTTTGAGGTCTTAGATATATGTTAAATGTTCATAAGTGTACCAACCAAGCACGTACATAGATCAGCACAGGAAGACCAACCTGGAACCATTTTTGATTCCCAAACTGTCCCAAGCTGACAAAATGTTTTCTCTGCAAGGTCAAGGAAAATGGAAAAGCCGTCCCATTGTCTTTTCCTTCACAAATCCTGTCTTAAGGGTATGTATGTGTTTGAATAGGGTATGAGCCCGTGACCTGGCCCAGGAACTAAGTATTTATCATTACAAAAGACTGGCCAGGCTCCCCAGGCAATCCAATCTAGTAAGCCGGGTATCCAATCAAGTAACCTGCCAGACAGGAGATAAACAACGACAGGAGAAAAACAACATTCAAATTTCTGTTTTAGACGGCCTTTTCTGTGATGTAGGTATGATGTATCTGAGGGGTGGTCTTAGGATACACCCCTTCTGTGATGTATGTATGATGTTTCTGGGGGTGGTCTTGATTTACAGGGTGGCAATTTCAAAAGTCTTTATAAGGCCTTGCACTCCATTGTTCTGGGTTTCTGGCTTCCTCCTCCCTCCTGCGTGTGAGGGGAGCACCCTGTTGCAACAGATCAATAAAGATCAAGCTTACTAGCTGCTTTGCTTCTCAATATTCTCTGGTTGGCCTCTGTTATTTTCTCCTACCAATAAGGAACCTAACGTAAGGACTCTATCTGGGCTCTTGGAGACCCCATAAAGTAAATGCTGTTTACAACAGCATGCATGCAGACATTCCTAACCCCTGACATCTCTAGTGATGGAAGACAACTCTGCCTGAGTCCCTAGAAAGTTGCTGCCAGTTTTAATAGATGGACCCATGACCTGCTTCCAAAATGAATAAATATCCAGGTTTGCTCAGGCTGCGTCATTTGCACTGCTTTTATCCTTGGACGGTGTCATCCCTGTCTCTTTCCGGCCAGCTGATGTCACTGTTGCCGTGTGATTTCTCGCACTGACTCATCCTCCTCACACCTTTCCAACAAAGAAAGCTCCTCTCTGCGGATCTTGCAACCGCACTGGCACCATGACATCGCACAGCCAGCAGGCCTGCCTGCAGAATGCGCACCACCAGCTGGTTCGACAGTGAGCGGCTATTTATTTATAGAGGAGGCAACGGTCTCATTCTTGCGGCCAGAGGATTGCGCAGCTTGGTTTGTGCCGGGCGGCAAGCGGCGGAAAGGGCCATTGGAATCGTCACACAAGCTGCACCGTCGCAAAACATTCCCATACACATTGACAGGTGGAGAGAAGGTTTTATTACTCTCTCCCCAGCACTCACTTTTCTTCCAGAGAAGGCAGGGCAAGATATTTCTCCTTCATTCCTTTTGTACTTTCTGTGTCCTGCAATTTCTGAGTCATCGTCGGCATCCTTTTCGTATGCTTTGTTTTGCAGGGTTTTTTTAAAAAAAACAGCAGGACTATAATCAGTGCTTTCCCCCCTCTCTGTCCAGGGTATGCAGTACTGGCACCTAATTTTGTTGCTGTTAAAAAGTGTGATACAGTGGTACCTCAGGTTACAGACGCTTCAGGTTACAGGTGCTTCAGGTTACAGACTTCGCTAACCCAGAAATGGTACCTCGGGTTAAGAACTTTGCTTCAGGATGAGAACAGAAATCACGAGGCGGCAGCGGGAGGCCCCATTAGCTAAAGTGGTACCTCAGGTTAAGAATGGTTTCAGGTTAAGAACGGACCTCCAGAACAAATTAAGTTCTTAACCCGAGGTACCACTGTATTTACTGTTACAACTTCACGGTGAGTACCTGCCCCTATTTTTCCAGAAATAAAGCACTGGTTATAATGCATCGTTTACAAAACGAGAACACACCTTTTAATCGGAATCGTGCCAACAATGCAGTTAAAGAGTGTGTGTTTGTGCTTGTAGCTGGAAAAGACAATTTTTTACTAGAGGCAAGTAAAAAAATAAATAAACCAGAAACTAGTCGTACTGTTGGCACAATGCAATTTTTACAGGCATCCAAATGGCCTTGAGGAGGATGTCATTCCCACGCAGGAAGTTATCCTGGGATTCATCTATTAAACTGCAGGGGGTTTGTGGACAAGGAGGCCCCAGCCACATCTTTACCTGCCCATCCCATGCCTGAAGGCAGGCTGAGGTCCCCGTAATGGACTGGCCTCCACTGTATTCCAGCCTGCAAAAGTCAAGACTGCCCCAGAGGCAGCTCTGGCTTTCCATAGGCGATTGGACAAGTGGTTATTTATGAGTCTGTAGTAAATGGCATTTTGTGATATGGCTGGTTGTTTCTTTCTTTAATGGAAAACAACAACACTGGGACTCTGAGGATTCCATTTCAAAGCCTGCAGCAGGCTGCAAATCAATGCCTGCACAAAGGCACGTGCTGTGAGATGTCACTCTTTGGTTGACTGGCAGGCGGAGCTGCAAGACTTTGTTGATTTTATTCGTTCATTTCGCAATATTTATATGCCGCTCGATTGTCGCAAACCCTCAAAGCGGTTTACATAAAGAACAAAACAATAAGATTATTAGCAAATGAAGACAGCTAGAAACAGCTATCCTAAATAAAATATCCTCTCTTGTCCGCATCCTTAGGAGTCTTCAACTAGCTACCACGGTGTTGCAGCCTTAATTCCTGCAATGCCATTCCTATAGAATGAATAACACATATTCAGCCTGAGACCTTATTTCTGAAACACACGGCTGAAATCGAAAAGGCTGCACTCAGAAGTCCTCTGCGTGCACACAAATTTTTGAAGAGCACCTGCTCTGCATTGAGGGTTCAACCCTGACATCTCCAGATACGGACTGCCCACCGCCCAAAACCTTGGAGTTCTGCTACCAGCCAGTGTAGACAGTTCCAAGCTACGAGTGAGGCGGTGTAGAGACATTGCTCAGGCTCTCACCTCTGCTTTTAGCAAGTTTGACACCCATTGAAAATCAGGGGGTGGAGCTTTTTGCAGGAGAGGGCTCAACTGAGCCTACAAAGCTCCCTTAAAATAAATGCTCTTTGCTCCAATTGGCCAGAGCTGTCCCAATACATTTTGCTGCTGAGGTATAGGACAAGATGGTGCCCCCCGCTTTCTATACAAAGGAACTGCCCAGAGTGGCAGTTGAATCTTACTTCAATACTGGCAAACAGCTAGGAGGCTGCCCCTGCTGCTCCTCAACATTTGCCGCCTGAGGCAAACCTTACTCTGCCTAATGTTCAGGCCGGCCTTACTGACAAGAGGTGGTTTCTAAGGATCACAGGTGGGCATCGTCTCCCACCCCTGAAACCTCAGAACCTTTGGCTGGAAGGTTGTACCCAGGGCTTTGCGCATGAAAAGCATGTGCTGTGCCACAAAGCTACAGGCCCCCTTTCCCCTTCTTTCACTTGCTGCAGATCACATTTCAGAGCAAACAATGGGCAGCCTATGCTTCCCCCAAAGGGGGTATAGAGAAATGGACAAGAGCAGGAAGGGTAATTGACACATGCACACTATGAGGAAGAGGTTTCTTCGGAGGGCAGACAGCAGATCAGAACCAGGAGGTGACCTCCTTTGTTCGCAGTGTCAACTAGACTTGAGAAATCCTCTTAAACCTGCCTCTCCGTCTCCTCTTTCAACATCTGCAGACTAGACCTTCTTGATTTCAGCATAATCTGACTTGGATTCTTCTGAAGTGGGTTCTGGTAAACATTTCAGTTCACCAAAGTTGAGAGATGCGTAATGCAACTCTTCGGGGTCGTTGGAGATTTGGTCGGGGTATTCATCAAACTTCTCTTGATCTTCTGGAACGTCCTTGCCTTCGTCTGGATTAGGGACCGCGAGGCTGTTGCGCTGTTGGCGAAAAACAACAAGCAAACATTATGCAAAACCCAGGATTGAGCTACTTTAAATCTTATCCGTAACCTGGACTGCGAAACTTAAGAAGAAACAGGTTCTCCCTCCCCCAGATCTTGAGCACGTTCTTCCTTCTTTGCTTTATTTCTAAACTTAAAAGGCCCTCGAAGCTTTTTGCTTTTAAATTAGAAACAAACAAAACTCAGGTTTAATCTCTGTGAATGAATGAAGGGATGCATGGTTATCTGAGGCCGTGGGATGTGCACAAACCCCATTCCAGTGTCCTCATGTCTGCCTTTGCTCAGTCCCTGATTTTCCTCGTATTGCACCAGGAACCTATAAACCTTTCCTTGAACACAAGTGGAATGATTTCTGACCAGAGTTGGGAACTTTTTTTCCACCCAAGGGACACATGCCTTGTGGGAAGCCCTTTGGGGGCTGCATCCCAGTGGCGGGAGTGTAAAAAATGTGTGTAACCATTCTCCAGCCCGACAAGCAAGGTGAAAATTCACAGTTCAAGGAAACATCCCAGGCAGGAAAACTCACTACAGGAGGGTGTAGAGCTGTGAGAGGCATGAGCTGGGTCAATGGGGTCTGGGCAGAGTTCCCGGGGTGGAGGAAGGGGGTGCGGTGGGGGCGGGTTGCCCCAGGTGTCACCACTGAGGGCAGTGACAAAATGCCGGGTGGCACTCACTGTGGGGCCTGCAGCACACCCGAGCCACGTGTCTCACCTGGGAGTGACGCAATGGCTTGGACACCATCAGGCTGCCCCAAATGGTCTGCCCACTGCCTCCCCCCCCCAGCTGTAGGGCGGCTGAGTGGGAGGAGGCAGGCAGACTTCCTCGGTGGGACCCGCGGAGTGTCCTCCCCTGGCTTGCCCCTCCCCATGGGGGGCTGGCCCCACCCCTGGACGCAGGCCACACACACCGCCCCAGGCGCCCAATCGGCTTGCTCCGCCACTGCAGAGTCCCAAGGGGCTTGGAGGGCCACAATCAGCTTTCAAGACTGAGGTTTCTCTCCCTGCAACGTGCAATCTGATAAAGCAGGGTCCCCCATTGTTCAAGGGATTCAACTGCAAACGTGGCATCAACCCCGCTGTGTGGGAATCCCTTGCAGCACCTGGAGACAGGCGGTCAGGTTGTATATCCACAGCAGTGACCAACAGTAATGACCGCTGGGAGGAGTACAGAGAGAAGAAATGCTGTGCGTTGCATCTGCAGCGGCAAACAACCAGACGCCTTCATCTGCCCCAGCTGCAGCAAAACATGTCTCTCCCCTACATGTCTCTGCCCTACAGCCACAGCAGGCACTGTAACTCTCCCAATGGTTTGACTTCACCCTCAAAGACTTACTCTTTCATCATCTCCTGAGACAGACGGATGCCAACCGAAACTCCCTATGGAGGTCTTCTCTATGCAGCACAAGGAAGGTCAGGGATTGAGCAGGGACAGGGGACGTGTACATGAAAATGATGACTTTGGGGGGGGTGAGGCTGGCATTTGCCACTGCCACTGCCACCACCACCCTCCACCCTGCCTGAACACAACTTTGGACTGCATGCTATCAATGTGCTGATGTGGACTTTTTAAATGTGACAGCTGAGAGGCAGGTGCTACAGACCTTGACATCTGGGGAAAGCTCGCTGTGGACGTGAGTCAAGGGCTTTGCGATAGATTCTGAGGCAGTCAAAGGTTTTCTGTCCTTTGGGTACCTGCAGAGAGAAATTATCCCCTTATCATTTAACTGACCTCACGCCACCTCCAGTTGGCTCATGCCACTCCTCAATCCATTTTCCTTTTTCTTTTAAATGTCCAGAACATGCACACAACAGGGACAGGAGTGCTGAATCTTAGCATCGACTTAAGCTGCAGTGGTGTAAGTTGGTGGAGGCTGGTCTCTTAGGCAATCTCAGTCAGCCCCCACTTGCCTGCCTTCTTACTTACAAAACCTGGCACCAGCCACCACTGGTGGAAGTCAAAACTTGCAATGCTTAGTGTACACAGATGAGAAACTCCAATTTCTTCCCTTGTTACAGGAGCTGTTCCAGACACTCACCATCTGCATTCATACAGCAGTTCATTCTATTTCCCCGGAATTTCCCCAACCATTAATTTTTGCATTATATTCGAGCTTCCACACGATGTGTAAGGCACTCCCAGAATGTAGCCGACTGTAGCACAAGTTTAGTGCTCATTTCTCAGTTATTTGCAAAAACATCTTTTTTTGCAGAAGCAAAAAACACAAAAACAAGCTCTAGACTTTTGCTATATTCTGCTATATTTCTAGAGGTGATACACACAAGCGTAATGCGGAAATTAGCAGGGAAATGTTGGGAGAGCAGAATAGACTGCCATGTGAATGCAGCCACCATCTCCCCAAGGAAATGATCTCATGTCTCTTTTAAGTGCTGTACAAGCCCTAAACTCTGACACCATGCCTGCTATTCCTCATATACCAAAGGAGATGGGGAACCCTAAAATAATTTTAAAAAGAAGGGAAAAAAGTAAGAGTTATACAGGCCAGCAAAGGCCAGGGTGAGGAAAACACAAATATCAATGAGATGGCTTGGCCCCAAATTGTGGGAGAGAGATAAGGCAATGCTGGAATCAAGGCTATGTACATCGCAATCTGGTCCTATGCATGTTATTCAGTAGTGAACTCAGATTTCAAAGCAATCACAGAATCATAGAGGTGGAAAGTGTGTTCTGGATTGCAGCCAGAAAGAGGCAGACAGAAAATCCGGACATGATAATCAAAGAGCTGGAGGAGATGAGGAGAGATGTTACATGTATATAGAAGCAAAATTTGGGAAGTTTTGATTCGGCTACAAAAGTAGTTGAGATTGTAAGTGACCAAGAAGATTAAAAGGTGGTTAGAAGAGAACAATGATGAATTAGACAACAGGGTGTGTGAGAGAGATGTTCAAGTCAAGAGGCTTACCTGAAGTGGATGGAGAAAATTTAGCAGAAGACCTGGAAAAGATTATTGGCTAGTTTAGTGGGAAGCCTTGTGAATGAGCAACGCTGCTTTAAGCAGCTCTGAGAATTAACAGTGTATATTCTTATAAACATGAGGTGCCTTGGTTTGGTTTCAGAACCACAATTCCAAAGATGCTGCTATGCAAACAAAATGGAATAATCCCAAATGGCTAGTCCCTGGTGCAGACATACAAAGCATCTGCCTATCTCTTTGACTGGGGATTACTTTGAGATAAGAGAGAAAGTGGGGGAAATTCTTAACAGATAAAGTAACCAAAGGAAACAAGTACAGTGGTACCTTGGTTCTCAAATGTAATCCGTTCAGGGAGTCCGTTCAACTCCCCACACGGTTCGAAAACCAAGGCGCGGCTTCCGATTGGTTGCAGGAGCTTCCTGCACTCAGTCGGAAGCCGTGGAAGCCATGTTGGACGTTCAGCTTCCGAAAAACATTTGCACACCGGAACACTCACTTCCGGGTTTGCAGCGTTCAGCAGCTGATTTGTTCGGGAGCCAAGCCATCTGACCACCAAGGTACCACTGTATACGGATAACACTTTGAGGTTCTGTTTTGATAGAAATGGTTTTATTGGGGGGGGGTTAATTGAAAACTTTGCAGTGATTTCCTGGAATTGTTTGAAAGATTATTCATGGGTATGCTCTGTGTTCAGATAAATAAGACAAACAAGAAAGAACAGCAAATGCTGCACTAGTAATCCTCCCACTGATAGAGGAAAATCATTTGCAGTCATGTAGTATATTATTTTCTTCTTCTTTCTTCTATGGGGACAGATCTACTCTCTTACCCCAGGCGCATTGCCTGAATGCAAACATGACAGAAGTCTCTTTTGACCCTAGGACATGCACTGTCATAGTCCATAGTCCTTTGGTCCAGTAGGGAGAAAAGGAGAGACAGCTTGGGGGCTTGCCTGCACCTCTGTACACCGCCGGAAGATGGAGGAGCAGGACTCTGTTATGCCTCCCCGTATTTCTCCATGCTTGGGCCCATGATGCAACTTCCTTGCACCTGTTGTATAGTTCACCCTCCTGCTCCTTGTTGCAGTTTTCTTGTCTCCATTAGTTACAAGTGTGATCACATGCAGAGGAGGCTGCTCTGCGAGGGCAAATGGGGCACTGCCCCACAGCCTCAGTCTGATCTGAGCCAGGGCCCCACCACCACCACCACCTGCCTTCTTACTTACAAACCAGTCCATTGGCAGCCAGCTTCCTCCTCCTTGAGGGACGCGGGTGGCGCTGTGGTCTAAACCACAGAGCCTAGGGCTTGCTGATCAGAAGGTCAGCGGTTTGAATCCCTGTGACGGGGTGAGCTCCCGTTGCTCGGTCCCTGCTCCTGCCAACCTAGCAGTTCGAAAGCACGTCAAAGTGAAAGTAGATAAATAGGTACCGCTCCGGTGGGAAGGTAAACGGCGTTTCTGTGCGCTGCTCTCGTTCGCCAGAAGCGGCTTAGTCATGCTGGCCACATGACCAGCTTTACACCAGCTCCCTCAGCCAGTAAAGCAAGTTGAGCGCTGCAACCCCAGAGTCGTCTGCGACTGTGCCAAAACGGTCAAGGGTCCCTTTACCCCCCCCTTCCTCCTCCTTACTCAGTGCTGCCTTTGTAGAACTCATCGGGGAAAAAAGTAGAATTAGTTGGCTCCTCCCACCCGGGGCTCTGGCTCCGCCTTTTTGTTGGGCTCCCTGCCTGCCCCCCTGCCTGGTTTCATTGGGCACCAGGCACCACTGATTAAATGCATTCTAAAAACACTAAATGGATTTAATTGGGGCATGGAGATTTCAGTTCTATTTGGGATTTGATTGATTTATCGAATTTCCCTATGGGCTTGCTTTGCAAGATGAAAACGTCTTGCGTTTTTTGCAAGTTTGTTTCCTTTTTCTTAACACCGTTAACACAGTTGCGACTTGACTTCGAGGAGCAACTCATAGAACGCGGTGTGGTAGCCTTTTTTGAAGTTTTTGGTGATTTTTGAAGCTTTTCCAAAACTTTTCTGACACCGTGCTTTGCAAGACGAAAAATTCGCTAGACGAAAAAACTCGCGGAACGAATTAATTTTGTCTTGCGAGGCACCGCTGTATTTATTTTGCTAGAACCACAATGTTTAATACTAGAGGTGTTACTAGGACCACAAGACACAGCAACTGAAGCCTTGTGTAAGTAGTTGCTTCAAATGGGGCAATATAGAATTAACAAACAGGGTGCCTCTGAGCGCATGCAGATCCCAATAACATGTCTTCAGCACCGGCACCAAGCTTACAGTCCTGCTACACAAGAATCCATTCCAGGTTTTCCTCTCAGGCTTTCTTCATCCCAGTAGTTTAATTTAGAAGGCAGTTGCAACTTGATGGTGGCTAGGGCTGCCTTTTAAATGTTACAGTAATTAAAATAACTGGGAGTCTGAAAACCCTGGTGATCTACTGCAAATCACCCAGAGATTTACTAGAAGATCCTGATTTACTTTCTGACTTCTCCTGGGTTGTTACATAACACGATAAGTAAGGGAGAATTTCTCTCCCTCTCAAAAGGTATGCAAGGAAAGTAAGATTACGTTAATAATTCAGGAAATGCATATTGATTTAGGCTGAAGGCACCAGAATTCATTACAAAATTAAAATCGAGGGAGACATTTTCATCTCCAGTTACTACTGTGTCAAACAATCTGCATGCGGGGGAAACAAGCCAACTTGGATGTTTGCAATGTAAAATATGTTGCAGTCTATCAATATATTGACAAGGAAGGGAGAATCTTGATGATGGAGGATTTATTCCTGAGCGAAACTAATGCTTCTGTGGGCTCACGCACCAAATTACAAACAGGGGAGAAAGAGGGAGGGAGGTTTGGAAAACGAGGTCGATATTTTATTAGACTTCATAGAAGGAGACACTATGATAGGTCAAGAAATGAAGAGTGGTATGGGTCACTTATGTTGGCAGATTGGGTCAGAGTAATGTTTATAACACTTCGTGCTTCTAAAGTGTTTAATAAAGGTGTACAATGTTTCTTAAGCAAGCGATGCCTAGAAGACTCCAACTTTATAGACATTAGGCTTGCTGCTCCAATGTACATAAGGAAGCCTTCTTAAAAATCAATAAAATACATTATTTTTTAAAAAATGAAGCATTCCTGCTTTGCAGGGGGTTGGACTAGATGACCCTTGGGGTCCCTTCCAATTCTAAAATTCTATGATTCTAATAATTGGAGGATGCATCTAGTAGAGCAGATGCAGAAGGTCCCTGGTTCAGTCTCTAGCTTAGCCTTCTTCAACCTGGTGCCCTCCAGAAGCTGGTGCCCATCAGAAGCTGCTTTCGACCAAGTGAGAAACATTGGTCAGTCAGTATCACCTACACTGACTGGCAGCAGCTATTCAGGGTTCCAGGCCGGGAGTTTCCCAACCTGGAGATGCCAGAGATGGAACCTTCACTACTGAGCTGTAATTCCTCTCCAACAAGTCCCTCATCCTCCAGGTCAGGGATGATGGGGGCTGAAAGCGAACAACATAAAGAGGGCATCAAGTTGAGGAAAGCTGCCCTAGGCCCTCCAGCTTTTTTAAAAAATGGAACACCGTGACCAGTGCCAGAGCGCACTGAAACGCCGTTTAACTTCCCACCGCAGCAGTACCTATTTATCTACTTGCACTGGCGTGCTTTTGAACTGCTAGGTTGACAGGAGCTGGGACAGAGCAACAGGAGCTCACCCCATCGCAGGGATTCGAACCGCCGACCTTCTGATCGGCATGCCCAAGAGCAGACATAGGCAAACTCGGCCCTCCCATCATCCCTAGCTAACAGGACCAGTAGTTAGGGATGATGGGAGTTGTAGTCCCAAAACATCTGGAGGGTCGAGTTTGCCTATGCCTGCCCAAGAGTCTCAGTGGTTTAGGCCACAGCACCACCCGCCCTTCTTGTCAGAATATAATACGAGGCTAAATAGGTCAGTGGCCAAGTTTGGACAATCAAATCCTGACTCAATAAGCCAAGAAATGCAATGAGTTGCATGCAGTCCCTTTGCCCTCATTTTGCTGCCCTCTCTTACAGAACATAAGAAGAGCTCTGCAGGATCAGGCCCATCATCCCAGCATCTTGTTCTCACAGTGGCTGACTGGATGCCTATGGAAAGTCCACAAGCAGGGATCCAAGCACAAGAGCACAATCCCACTCCTGTGGTCTGCAGTGGAAGTAGAACAGGAGAGGAGGTGTTCAGCTAACCATGGTTCCCGTGACTTCTGCACCAGGAAACCATGGTTAATGGCCTCCAAACAACCAGGGTATGTAGCCATGGGTGAAAAGTTGACTTGTTTCAGTTCAGTTTCAGTTCCCCAGTTTGGACTTAACAGAAAGCTGTAGTTAATGCTTCTTGCATTCTCCCTCGGCTTGTGCAAAACACAAAGAGATAAAGAAGAACTCTGCTGGATCAGACCAGAAGACCCAGCTAGTCCAGCATCCTGTTCTCACAATGGCCAGCCTAATGCTTTTGGGGAAGCCTGCAAGCAAGACTTGAGCACAACCACCCTCCCCTCCCTTGTGATAGCCAGCAACCAGTATTCAGAGACATTCTGTCTCCAAGAGCAGAAGAGTTCTAAGTCAGGATATGATTGCATAAACCAGGTTGAGCAGTAAGGCAGATTTCATACGTCTGATTTCTTCCCCACATAAGAAATAGCTTTTGCCAGCTTCCCAATAGATGCCTCAGTATATAAACCGACTGCAACACATTTAACTTGATCAATTATAAATAAGAGCAACTTTGCTCGAGGAAATTAAATAATTTGTTACTGTCAGACAACGAGGTTGCGTACTGATGAACTAAGGGGATTTTTCAGACTTAATAATACTCCCGAGAAGAATAAACTAACTGTATGAGAAACTAATAAAGCCTATATGTGGAGGGATTCATAACAGTTTCTTCATACTTGAATTAAAGGAGAAAGAGGCAGAGGGAGGGAGGAATATATTAGCGAGACTGAGATGTTGCAAACGGCGGAAAGACAAAAGAGGAAGAGGTCGGCTTCCATAGGAAATACAAAGGGTGCTTGTGCAACTAATCTTAAAGAAGCATGGTTGATGGGCTAAAAAGTTGAAACGGGTCAATAAAAACAGTATAGGTAACATCTGAATGTGCATTTTTGTACCTTTTTAGGCTGGTTTGCTACTGTGCAACCCCTCGGTCTCCTGACCCCCAAGGGCCAATTTTCACCCTCCAGGACTTATGAACCCCACGTAGGAAAAGTTTTTGAAGCAGGGGTGCACTTAATCTTGGAAGCTACCTGCTTGACATGGTGGAAGTCGATAGAAACAGTACACCTAGAGCAGGCCTCTCTGCCTCACGTCTGCCTTTGCACCTCCAACCCCCTGCTGGCTGCTTTCCCCAAGGTGGTTTATTTTATTTGAGTCCCTAGGGGAGGCAGAGCAGCTGGCTGGAGTTGGCATTTGGGTTGGCTCGAATGCTCAGAAAGCCTCCTCAGGGCTTTCGTTGAGGGCTGATCCACCCTTCCTCTTCCCCGCTGCTTTCTCCTGGAGAAGACTGCTCCCAATCAGAGCAAACATCATTTGGGGTTTTCTCCGGATTGACGTTTGCTCCGATTGAGCACTAGAGAGTGGGTTTTCCCTGGAAAAGAGGTGGGACAAGGGGGAAACCGCTCTGACCCGTGCTATCTAGGCATGGGATGAGCAGAAGTGTGCATGAGTCCAAAGTGTTGCGATTAAGGCAACGACGCTTGCAATAAATTGCCTGAACCAGTGAGGGGCAGTAGGCAGAAAGGTAATGAAGAGCTCATCCACACTTCCAGTTGTCTTGTGCCAAAAAATCATGGGTTTTCTAGGCATGGGTCCAGGAGGTTTTGCCTTTGCCCTGACACCTTCCCCCAGAAAAGCTGTTCTTTAGTGCTAAATCGGAACAAACAGCAATCTGCAGAAAACCTGATTGCCATTTGTTCCGATTCAGCGCTAAGCCATGGGTTTTCCCCAGGGGAAAGCTACAGGGCAAACAGAGGTGGGGATGAGCCCCTAGTCTTCCCTCTGTGATTCCTTCCTAAATAACAACCTGCAGATTGTGTTTTCTCCATCAGGCTTTACTTCCTTCCTCCTGCTTCTTCAATCAGTTACCATTTGTGTTAGCCCTTCCTTTGGTTAGGGTTGCCATATTTCAAAAAGTGAAAATCTGGACACAGAAATTGTTGAGCATTTTTGGCAAAGTTGGGGGGGGGGCAAGTTGCTGAGCCATTATGACCAGGAGCCAATTGCAAGGAATAGCCTTATCCTCCTGAACTTCTCTCATCCTCTTTTAAAACCATCTAAGCAAGGAGGAGGAGAAAGAGAAAGAAAGCCAACCAACTTTCTCCCCGCCATGTATATGAGGGGGGAAACCCATTCACAGGGAAGGGGTCTTTGTGGCCCTCCCAATGTTTCTCGCATGGCCAGTGGTCAGGGGTGATGGGAAGTGGTGTCCAATATCTTATGGAGGTTAATCATAATAATAGTAATAATTTATACCCCACCCATGTGGCTGAGTTTCCCCAGCCACTCTGTTATGTGGTCCCGGCAGCCACTCCCAGTCACCAGTCTAGCTGCCGCATTCTGGACTAATTGCAGTTTCCGGGTCACCTTCAAAGGTAGCCCCAGGTTCCCGTATGTTCCCAAATGCTATGCTTCCCATGTGCTTCAGTGTAGCGCAAACTCTTATTATTATTTCATGCTCCCTTATGGGCAGTTCTTCGGAGGCCACATACCAGTACAAAAAAAAGCACATTTATATATTACGTGTCACGGAACTGCCATCGGAGGGACAGGAGGTGGAAGGGCTCACAGAGGTTGGGAGAGACTCAGCAGCTGAAGAGGGAACCAGCAGGGGGAGAGAAGGAGCTCCGAGGGAAAGTGAGCGGGAGGGATGGCTCAGAGACACTTCCAGCGAAGGTAGTGGGGAGGTTTCAGGACCTCCTATAGGGACACCCACTCCGCGCCGGAAACTGTCGCACCGTGAGGCCAGGAGACGCGTTTCCGTCAAGGAGCTTTTATGTTGGAAGAGATTCCGGAAGCAACCACTGTCGGAATCTGCCAGCGACTGATGGAGCCATGCTTAAGGGGCTCCGTTACACACAGAGGTTTGCGGACGTAGTCAAACTCTGAGGGACTAGGATTTTACACACAAGTAGCTCATCATCCCATCACATTACGCATATTGCTTTTATTGACTAACATTTTGCCCCGTCTTTAAATATGCCCAAATGCCTAACAAAGGCTAGCAAACCCAACTAATGAAAAGCCAAGGAAATAATAACAAAACTGTAATAACAGAATGTATTCCATGCACACACCCTAATCCAGGGATGGGGAATAGAGCAGCCGCTGGCTCTGGGACCAGATACCTGTCTAATCTGGGACTATTTTACATGCTTCTTGACCACCTGGGCTGAGAGCTCACACTCCTCACCACCTGTGCATCCCAATGGCCAGGATCGCTGCAAAAACCTGACAATTCCCAGGCTTCAAATCAGCAGACTGATTGCTGGACAACAGTCATTTGCCAGCAAGCGGCACTTGCTAGGGCAACACCAAGCGGCTGTGTCATGCCTGATCAGTCCCCCGGAGGAAAGATGAGTGTCTGGAAAGCTCTGCAGAGTAGGCCAGCACAGCATGCAGTTTTTTGCAAGCCAAAAAGCACCACCGCCATCCACCTTCCTTGAAGGTGCAAGGCAGTGATTGGCTTGGAGTCTGCTCAGCCACAACACTGGTGTTGACGTTTCAACGTACTGCCAACGACAGCATTGGGCCCTCTCTCCTGCAGAACATTACACCGAACCAAAAATTCACTCCAGGTGGAGCCTTCCTCTCCATCAACATCCAGCACAAAAGTGACTCCCGCTCTCCTCAAGTACTACGGAAACAGACAGGTGCTAACCGTTACTTACCTTCTGGAAATCAGAACGACGATGATAACGATCAGCATGACGACAGCCAACATGACGAGGGCACCCATTACACCGCTGATTAGGTTCCATTTCAGAGAGTCTCCTGTTGGTTCAGAGGAGAACAAGTCTGGTGAAGCCACAGAGAACCAGCTTCTCCATTCCCACCCACACCACATCTCCACCCAATGTTTGAAGTGACTCCATTCTGTTTGTCCCAAAGAGCTAAGAGAACCCAGGGCTATCGATAGGCAGAATGAGGCCAGTGCCCCAGGCAGAAAATGCTAAGGACATCAAAAGAGTATTGCTGGGTCAGGACAATTGCCCAGTCAGGATCCTGTTCTCACACTGGCCACCCAGATGCCTCTGGGAATCTGGGAAGGAGGACCTGAGCACAAGAGCGCTCTCCCCTCCTGTTGCTTCCAGCAACTGGTATTGAGAAGCTTTGCTGCAGCCATGGCAATAAGGTGCTAAAATGCTAAGGAGGGAGGAAGGTAGTGATGGTAACCAGCAGCCAGAGGAGTAGCAAGGTACCCGGTGTGAATATTTACCCAGTGAGCTTTTTTTTAGGGATGGTACCCTAAAGATGTTGACCTTTTTTTAGGGAGGGTTGACCGTGAAACAGATACACCTGCAGGTCGCAAATCTGACCAATGATCAATCACATAACACTGTGTCAGTACCGCCCATGAAAATCCAACCGCCCATAGGCGATCACAGGGGTCAGCAACCTTTTTCAGCCGTGGGCCAGTCCACCATCCCTCAGACCATATGGTGGGCTGGACTATCTTTTTTTTTTGGGGGGGGGGGGAATGAACGAATTCCTATGCCCCACAAATAACCCAGAGACAAATTTTAAATAAAAGCACACAGTCTACTCATGTAAAAACACCTGGCAAGCCCCACAAATAACCCAGAGATGGATTTTAAATAAAAGGACACATTCTACTCATGCAAAAACACGCCAATTCCCTGACCGTCCGCAGGCCAGATTGAGAAGGGAATTGGGCTGCATCCGGCCCCCGGGTCTTAGGTTGCCTACCCCTGGGCGATCGCATAAAACTGCCCACCGAGGATTTGAGCGCTGCCTGCCAGGGGGTGCGAACGCCAACTGCCAGGGGGTGCCAGTCTGATCGTTGGGCATATTTGCACGATCAGCAGGTGAATTTTCACGACAACAATTGCACCAATAGCAAAAATCCGCCCATGGGGGGTGTGAGTGCCACCACGATGATCCGCTTGAGAGGATTTTGTCACACACACCCAGGCATGACACCCAAGGTGGACCGCACCCCACACACCCCTTGTGATGCCCCTGCCAGCAGCAGCTGGTGCCCATCAAGTCACGGAACCCAACAGTGGGGGTTGCCAGAACCAATGACAGGCAGAACCATTTGAGTGTCCATAAAGAAGCAGGTAGGCAGGGAATAGCTGAGAGCAGGTTGAGCTTGTTGGGGCTATGCCAGAGATGCCCCATGAAACAGCCTCCACTGGCTAATGGAGTCCCCAACCAATTCCCCTTTGTAGATAGGAGACATGCAATCCCCTAAGGTTGCCGGTTGCCTTCGAAAACCATGGAGGGAGATGTCCGCTTACTCTCTCCGAAGTAGTAATGGTAGTAGTAGCAAAGGTAAAGGGACCCCTGACTATTAGGTCTAGTCGTTGCTGACTCTGGGGTTGCGGCGCTCATCTCACTTTATTGGCCAAGGGAGCCAGCGTACAGCTTCCGGGTCATGTGGCCAGTATGACTAAGCCGCTGGCCAGATCAGTGCACAGAAACACCGTTTACCTTCCCGCCGGAGAGGTACCTATTTATCTACTTGCACTTTGACATGCTTTTGAACTGCTAGGTTGGCAGGAGCAGGGACCGAGAAACGGGAGCTCACCCCATCGCAGGGATTTGAACCGCCAACCTTCTGATTGGCAAGTCCTAGGCTCTGTGGTTTAACCCACAGCGCCACCAGCGTCCCTGTAGTAGTAGTAATATATTATTTATACCCCGCCCATCTGGCTGGGTTTCCCCAGCCACTCTGGGTGGCTCTCAACAGAATATTAAAAACACGATAAAACATCAAACATTAAAAACTTCCCTAAACAGGGAAAAGTTTCAACTGCATCTGTATGAGGAGTGAACCCTACACAGATAGAGAGTGGAGTCCTTATTGCCCTGAAATTGTATTGCCTTGAAGTTGCCCATAAAGCAACAGACTGGACTGATGCGCAAGTCACTGGATCCATCTTCCCGACTATGGTGAGATGTATTGTATTTTATTTAAATCACAGATTCCCCCTAAATTTGCAGATAGGCATGGAAATTTACATATCTGAATTTTATGCAAATATGCCCTCTTTGCAGAGATGCGCTACTTCATTCTTGGTTAATGTATCTGTGCCCACCCCAACTTCGGGGCTCACGCCTCTTCCAGTGAAATTATCCACAAGCCTACTCAGAAGCAGGTGCCATTGAGTTCATACGAAGGAAGCGGGTGTCATAGAATTGTAGCGTGGGAAGGGACCCCAACGGTCATCTAGTCCAACCCCCTGCTATGCAGGAAACCCAAATAAGCATCGGGTCGCAATTTTGGCCGCCACTCCATTGCGACAGCTCTCCTAAAGCAGCATCCACCACATGCATCTGCATCTTCCAGTGATCCGTCTAGCATTAAATGAGCGGTAATTGCCAGTATTATCCCCCATTAAAATAGCACTTAAAATCATTGTGATGATTTTAAAAGATCGAAGGCATTATCTCTTCAATTAAAAAATAAATACATGGAAGTACTGGCAATAATCTCTCCCCCTTCCCCTCCCCCCCCCCCGGCTATTAGAAGAAAATAATAAACTTTTAATACTTCAGTACTAAATTATTCTAATGGCAATCATTTATCTCTAAAATTAAAGTTATTAACACAGATACACTTAATAAAAACCGCACTTGGGCTTGCCTGCAGGCCAGACGCCGAAAGCTCTTTAGGAGATTGGAGAGTGGATCGTAAAAGCCTCATTTTGAAGCACGTGACAAGCTGGGTCTTCATTTCAGCCAGGGATCAGCTTTCAAGGCCACAGGATGTGAGTAAAGAAATGGGTGCCTCTGAACATGTGCAGAGTGCATTTCCCAGCCCACTGAGACAGAGCTGGGGGAAAGGTAAGCTTCCAGGCCAGTCATTGCAACTGCCAAGCAATCCCAAAGCCTGAGGCCTCTCTTTGTAGGAATTCATTGCCGCTCAGAATTGAAATAAGGTACTATCACCCTGTCTTTAAGGCACAGTTGGATCCTGTCTTCATGCTCTGGCTGGCTTCTTTGGGGTGGGGACAACCAAAAGCTAACCTTGGTTCAATCACTCTGTCATTCTATGGAAGGATTGCAGGGGCAACCAGACCTACTATTTTGGGACAGGGATCTGAGCACATGCTGGAAATGTAGATTTGCACAATTAAAACATGTTAAAGAGCTCTGGTGCCCTATTGCAACAAACCCACTTTTTAAACAATGGGCTACTTTTTGCAGTTGGGAAATTGGTAGTGAAATGCACCCAACAGAGTGGGGCAGATAAACGTTTAACAGAAAGCCGTGTCGATGCCCCACATGAAAATCAGGACTAAGGCTTGTTGTCCTATCAGTGCCCCATAAACAAATAAAAGCAAATGCTCAATAAAAACTGGGTGTAGCTGAACCACTGTGTTAACTTTCTGTAAGGAAATCAGGATGAATGCTACATAAACAGTTCATATGTAGCAGCTCTGTGTCCTCCATCTATTACCGTCCTGAGAAATGACGGAACTGAAAAAAAGCCCTGAATGTTTGTTAACAGACTCACACATTACTACAGAATTCTGCAGAGGTCTTGACTATCTGAAAAGTATTCAATAAATATGGTGTTTTCACTTTTTCCTCCAAAAGTTGGGGTTTAAGCGCAGCATCACTTGGCAATCCTGTATGTAGTTTGTGAGTGTGCCTAGGCTGCCATACGACCAGGATTTCAAAGGCTTTCGGGGTGTCCTGGTTTTTACTTTTTGAAATATGGCAACCCTAAGTGTGGCTGCTATCTAAAGCAGGGCTCTAGGTAACTCTATTGGACCGATCTGCATCCCAGAGACTTACCTGAACTAGCCACAAAGAACTTCAAGGGAATCTGTCCGCCAGGGTTGGTTCCAAGGCAGACAATATGCTGCTCTCCATCCAAGTCCTCTGTCAAGTACAGAGTGCTGGTGGCTTCTTCCGTCTTATTCCAGTAAGTGACCTTCATGGTCTCATCAGTGTAGTTCCCCTCCAAGTTCTTCCCATTCACTTGCCACTGAATTCTAGGTGCAGGATAGGAGCAGATGGAACAGTTGCACTGGAATCCATTGCCATCTCTCCAGCATCGGGAATTATTCTGTTCACATGGCCTGGGGCTGTCTGGAAAAGGATGAAACAGAATGATCAGTGTCAGGATCTTGTGCCAGCCCTTATTCTAGTTTCCTCTTGCTCCAAGAAGGCCAGACTATTACAGTGGTACCTTGGGTTAAGTACTTAATTCGTTCGGGAGGTCTGTTCTTAACCTGAAACTGTTCTTAACCTGAAGCACCACTTTAGCTAATGGGGCCTCCTGCTGCAGCCACGCTGCCAGAGCACAATTTCTGTTCTCATCCTGAAGCAAAGTTCTTAACCTGAAGCACTATTTCTGGGTTAGCAGAGTCTGTAACCTGAAGCGTATGTAACCTGAGGTACCACTGTAGTTCCAACAACAGCCCAATCGTCTTTTGGCTCTGTATACCATGTTGGCTATCCTCTCTACACTGTAGCAGTGGGTATGGCTCTCAGGAAAAACCTGGGGATCCACTTTATGAATGCAAAGCATGCGCTCTAACAGTGAAGATGGATTTGAGTTTGTTAGTGTCTCTGGTAACTTCTCTCTCTTACATCATGGATGTTGACAAACTGGATTTTTGAAAGGCAGAAATAACATTAGAATTGGAGTTGTCAGAGATGCACAAGGGAAACTGCCTTTTAATGCTCAGGAACTTTGAAAAGCCTTTTTTGTATTGTGGATTTTTATATTATGGATGGATGTTCTGTATTATTTTATCAATACTATTGCTTAATACAAGCTTGCCATGGCCTTTGACTCGAACAATAAACTTATGAACTTGAGCCATCCATTTCCTGGACCCATCTCGATATGGTTTCTGGCCCTGATACATCACTCTGGCTGCATTTGTGGCCCAAGCAGCTTTTTTCCTTTTTCACTTTGAGATCAAGAGAGGCAAATTCCCTCTGCTAGGCCAGAAATTCCCAAAATGTGACCAGGAAAGCAAAATCAGATCTGTGAGCCCTGTGACTTTTCTGTGTGGTGGGAATAGAGAGCCTCTGGGCTAATCCACACTTACTCTTGTCCCTCTGCTTCCCCTGGGGGAAAGAGCTCTTTACCACGCAATTGGAGCAAACGGCAATTTGGGTTTTCTCTGAACTGACCTTTGCTCCGATTTAGCACTAAAGAATGGGTTTTCCCTGGAAAGGAGAGGGCCAAGGGAAAACCACTCACATGCCCTTCAAGTGTTGCAATTTCCCCTTGACATCCCACAATTACAGAAAACCATCCCAGCTTCCGATTTGATCCTGGAATGTCCCATTCCCACCCCCTCTAGTGCCGCCCCCAAGCTCCGGAAGGAGGGTGGGTAGATGCTTGCAGCGGGCACTTGTAGCGGTGTTGTGCTCTCATGCGAGTCATCTGGCTCCTGCAAGAGCATGGCACCCAAAGAATGCTCCTGTGCGAACCAGCTAGCTTGCGTGGCAGTGCAGCATCAAAGGACACATGTACTGATTTTCATGGGAGAGTATGCACTCAGACCTGTCCCTACAAAGCATGAGTCAAGTGGAAAACCACTCAGACCCATGTATTCTAAGCACGAGACAAGCGGGAGTGTGGACAAGCCATATGTGTGTAACCAAGGCCTGTATGAAGTCTTCCTGACATGGAGTGGGGAAATTCAAAGGGTGATTCCATCGCCTGGGAAATGCACAGGAGCAAACCCCAATAGCACTAGTCATGCAGGAAGAGGTTTCCTGGTGCAACCTGATATCTTTTGCAGCAATATACCTAGCTAATTCCCCATATTTGCCACAACAATGCCCCATTGTAGCAAGGAGTTCCAGAGTCATCCCCAACATTCCCAATAATATCCTCTACAGTGTCTGCATCTCCTTGAAAGGTTTTATCTCTCAGCAACACCCCACTGCATGAACCCCAGTTTTGTCTTCCTTACATGCTACATAGAGCTGGAAGGCGGCATCAGTCTCGCCCTCTGTGTTTGATGCACGGCATTTGTATCCCCGTTTGTCCGCCAGCTTCACATTCAAAATTTTCAGGATATTGGTTCTGGAGGATTGCCAACCAGTGGTCTTTTGTGATTTTGTCACCCAGGTTGCATTGGCTGAGGGGTTGCTCTTTATCCTGCAGAACAACGTGATGGAGTCACCTTCCTGGACTTCGATATGGGAAGCACCTGTGAAATTTCTCTGACCTGCAAGATTCCAAACAGGACAGTGGGATGCCACAGTGGTTATCAAGCTTCTAGTCTGGCCGCCCTCCCATCCCAGTCAAAGAAAACAGGTCTTATCCAACCACCTCCAGATGCAACACAAAATAAAGAGATGGCAGCTTGCTTGTCAGAGGAGGACAATGTTTCAAATAATGGCTGGGCTGCCAAATCTTCTAAATCTCCATTTTGCAGACAGGAAACAAAGGCTGGGTGTTTGCAGCACCCAATGACAAACAAAGGATCCATGGTAGAAGTGAGAGTCGAATTATTTTTAAAAAATTCAGGTCCCACTTTTCAAAAGCAAGCAAAATCCACACACAAATAGACACACATACATTTAGTGCTGCTTGCTCCAAGGAACTGTGGCTACTATGGCTTAGGCAGCCATCTTTGTTTTCATGGTCTGTATAATGGCTAACAAATACGTAAAATGCTTACTTTCACCAGGACGCTCAAGTATCCCACTGAACCACAGCATCGGTGGGTCTGTAAAAGGCAAGCACAAGCCCTGTGAGGGAGTGGCCCTGTCAAGTGGGGATTTATCAAAGGCAGGAAAAGATTCTAATCCTAGAATATTGCATTCACAGGTATCTTTCTCTGTAAGTAGTTTTGGGGAGCACATCCAACCAGCTTCATCTGCCCACCCAGTCAAGGCTTTGCCACTTTGTCCTCTGATCATCATTGCACAGAGATGGAGAACCTGATGCCTTCCAGATGTCACACTGCACTTCCCATCATTCCTAAGCATCTGCCATGCTGGCTGGGACTGATGGGAGTTGTAGTCAACCTGGGTGGGCTGGTGGTTCCCCTCTCTGCAACAGATGACCAATATCCATGGCCATTTTCCTATCTAGTACTTTGAATGCGGATGGCATTGCTGGTTTAGAAGACCAAAAAAGTGACCTTCTCCAGCATTCTGTTCCTTCCAGCTGGAGGTTATGGTGAGCCTTGCCATATAAAGTGGGGTACTTCTAATCCTCCCCCAAAAAATGTGTCATAGGCACTATAGAGGAGGCATGGGGATCCTGTGGCCTTCCAGATTTTTATGGACTCCATCTCCCACCATTCCTCCACTGGTCATGCTGGTTGGGGCTAAAGGGAGATAGATGCCACCAACATCTGGGGGCTGCTGGTTGCCCATACCTGTGGCAAAGCCAGCCCTGATGGCAATGTTGTGTCTTCCTGCGTTTTTCAGCATCAGTAGTTTTCTATTGCAGAATGCTCCATGCCCGCCCTACTGAACTCAAGTTGCTCTACCCCACTTTTGCAGCCCATTGATCCAAGGGAGACCGCACTGTTTCCAGGCAATAGCCAGTTGCTGTTCCACCAAGTAATGGACACAGGTGGAGCTAGCCTCAAATGACAAACTGAGATACACGCTAACGCTTTGTGCTTCTCTAGCCTTGCCTCAGATTGTCTGCTTCATAGTTTTGCCTTGAATTAGCTCTGTAATTAACTCATAGTTAAGCACACTGGGCTGTCTCAGGTGGCCTCACTCTTCCTGAAACATAACAAGAGGAAGAGGTCCCCCACAAAAGGGATGCCCAGGAGCAAAAGCCAGACAACGGATCTGCCCTCAGAGGCAAGAGAGTGAGCGTCATGGCTCACAACTCTTCTAGGCAAAATTGAGCCAGAGTTTCCTTAACAAGTCTTTCCCCCAAGTCGTTTCAGTTCCAGCTCAGCTAGATTAGAAGTTTGGTGTTTAAAACGGCAGCAGCAGCAGCAACAACAACACCCAGAGTCACTCACAGCTGACATCCAACTGGATCCTCTCCTCTGTTTGCACAGGTTGGGTCCCTTGGTTGTAGCTGGCATTGCAGATGAGATTCTCGCCATGGTCTGCACTTGAGGGTATGAAGGTACCGTAAACCTTGATTTCATTTGTCAGCTCGCTTGTGGTGCTCGATGTGTTGACTACAGAAACTCCTCCCCAGGTGAGGTCCACCTGTGAAGAACAATTTCCTGGGGTTGTACAACTGATATTCACTGGATGTCCTGCCCGAAGCTTTCCTGGTATCTGTATTTCAGGTTTCTCTGGATTTATGGGAAAGAAGATGCATAAGTATATCACAACCTCAACCAGCCTTATATTTGTGATGGCCATTGGCGTCACTTCAGAAAAAGAGATAATGGGTTTCTGATAATTTGTTGTTGCTCTTTAAAGCTATGATCCTTTGCTATATTAGTTCTGTCGGAGACTTGACATGCATCCTTATCGGCACAGCTCTGGAATTCAGAGCACCTTTATGGCAATGCAGAGTATTTTGAGCAAGAAAAGGGGCATGGAAATGGGGGCTGATAAGTGATGAGTGGGGAAAGGAGCTTTGCTAATTCCATGGGCAGAAGAATGGGCTGAGGGATGCACCAACATGGAGAGTCAGTCTTTTTTCAGTGAGCATTTGAGCTCATCCACACTTGCGTCCCCCCCCCCACTTTCTCCCAGGAAAACCCACTGTTTAGCACTGACTCAGAACAAATGGCAAGCAGGTTGCCCCCAGATTGCCCTTTGTTCTGATTTAATGCAGAAGAGCATGCTTTCTAGGGCGGAGTGGTGGGGTCAAGGCAAAGCCACTCAGAGCCCTCCTAGAAAATATGGAACAAGCAGAAAACCACTCAGATACATGCTTTCTAGGCATGGGAAAGACAGAAGTGGGTGTGAGCTCTCTGTTCCATTTCATTTTCATTTTTAATTCATATACTTTCTATATTACTATACGCAAGGCAGTTTACAAGCTGAAGAAACAACAAAGTAGACCGCAAAGATCACACACATAATAATCTGATCCAATGGAAAAAAGTCATAATAAGAACATAACTTTAAAACTAACAACTTTTATTAGGGTTGCCATATTTCAGGAAGTGAAACTTTGTCAAAGTTGTTGAGCTATTTTTAAGAAAATTCAACAAAATATACACTTCGGACACAGCTTGCCATACATCCAGATTTTCCCAGATGTTCCAGTGATTTCCACCTGGGCACTGTTTCCGATGACCAAATCCTGGACGTATGGCAACTCTAACTTATATCAAATAAAGCAATATTCCATGATCCATTAGAATACAGTGGTACCTCAGAACTCGAACAGAATCCGTTCCAGAAGTCTGTTCGACTTCCAAAACATTCAGAAGCTGCATCGGACGTTCAGGTTCCAAAGAACGTTTGCAAACCAGAACACTCACTTCCAGGTTTGCGGCATTTGGGAGCCAAAACGTCCGAGTCACAAGGCATTCCAGAACCAAGGTACAACTGTATAAGAGCAAACAATGCTCAGAATCTCAAGGGCTTTTTCCAGTACTCTGGAAGAAATACAGAAAATTCTTGCAAAGCCAAGTGTTTTCCCAAGCTGTCTTAACGGGTTAGATTAATTGGGGGGTTTAAAGCACAGGTAGATGTGTTGGTTCATACACAGAAGGTTTTAATTTCCTGGTGCTTCTCTCCCAGCGTAGGTGATACCAATGCTTCCAGAGAGGAGCATAGTGCTGGGCCACACTGGGGGTGCCAGACACCTTTGCACCCGACAAGTGCCAGTTTGTCTGGCCGGGCTCCCCCTGCGTGAATGGGCAGGCACTACAGCCTTGCTTGGCTCCAAGGCAGGGCAAGGTCGCTCTGGCCGTGTTGGCGGTGAGGGCAAGAGTGCTGAGACAGGTTCCTTCACCCAAAGGCTCAGGGGCAGAAAGACATACAGACAGCAGAGAGCCGGGCATCCTTCCAGCCACTCACCTGCCACTTTCACTAATGTAGGTAAATCTGAGTAGCTAAATCTTATTGTGCCTTTCTGTATTCTGAAATAGTATGCTCTTTCATCGGAGCTTTTGCGGGCATTCTTGATGGTGAGGGAACAGTCTCCTTGTTCCAAGTCCCCCGACAGAAGGAAGCGATTCTGAGCGAAACGATCTATATATTTATTCTCATCATTGGTGGCCATTGCATCATTGTAAGTTCTGCTGCCTACGGTATACCAATATCCATGCAATTCAACACCACTGGTGTCAGTCGATGCTGGGTAAGTGAATTTGCAGGGGATGACGACACAGAACCCCTCCTGTACTCTCACTTCAGGGGGGACCGTCAGGTTGTACCCTGGAAGGCATTGAGCACCTGCGTGGAGGAGACAATAAGAAACTCCATCAGCCTATTCCAGAACACCCATTCCTCCCTGTCCCCCATTACTGGAAAAGACTGGATATTTCAGGGTGTAGACTCTGGGTTCCTCCACATTTCCACTTGCCCTGCTCCTTCTCCACTCTTTAGTGCTAAATGGGAGCAAACATCAATCCAAAGAAAACTCGAATTGCCATATGCTCCAATTGAGCGCTAAAGAGCAGCTTTTCCTGGCAAGAAGAAGCGGGACTAGAGGAAGCGTGGATGAGCCCTCTGCGTTGTCCCCATAGCTCTGCCCTTTCAGTCTTCTCTTTACCTTCCCATTGCAGGCAGGTTGAAAGCAGTCCGAAAATGAAGGCTCCAAGGGGATAACTCATCTTGTGTCTCCTTCCAAAAGCTCTTTGTCCCTCTGCTGGAAAGGAGCCCAAGAAACTGAAAGAACAAGCAGGAAAAGTGAGTTCAGAAAGAATGGGTCTGCTTTTGAATAATTTGGGAACTATGCCACTCTCCGCCTGTTTTAATGATTTTATTTCTACATAGAAAAATATAAAGCACTTGATGATGATACCTAAGGAGTGTGGATAAAGTAATATAAAATAGTTATCAATATTACACAGATGGTGTGAGCAAAAAGTTAAAAACGAAGATGTGTAACATATAATTATGAGTCTGTATGTTGTTGCTCCTGCAACAACAACAACAAAGGTTTTAGTGGGCATCTAATACCAGAGGTTGCCAGCCCTAAGTAAGAGCTTTTGGACAGTGGAATAGACTTCCCCGGAGAGGTTGTAGACTCTATCCTTGGAGGTCTCTAAGCAGAAGTCAGATGGCCATCTGTTCTGAATGCTTTAGTCAAGATTCCTGCATTGCAGGGGGTTGACTAGATGACCCTCAGGGTCCCTTCCAACTCTAGTATTTTATTATTCTATCAGGCATGGAGTGCCAAAGCCTAGGTGCTGCCACATTGAAGTATTGACTCCTTTATTTGAAAGATTTAAATCACCCATAAGTGTCTTTGATACACAACACACAAATAACTTGTCCGGTTCGTATGTCAGAAGACAATGAGGAGAGTATATTTTTCAGGGCCCCTCCAGACATCCTCCCCCCCCCCCCCGTGCATTTATGATTATTTGTGCTCATTGTGCTCTCTGGAAAAGTCACATCATTATTATTATTATTATTATTATTATTATTATTATTATTATTATTACAGTGGTACCTTGATTCTCAAACACCTTGGTACTCAAACACCTTGGTTCTGGTTTTCAAATGTTTTTTGGAAGTTGAATATCCAATGTGGCTGTCGGCTACTGTTTCTGGGGCACCTTCACCAATCAGAAGCTGTGCCTTGGTTTTTGATCATTTTGGAAGTCAAACTGACTTCCGGAATGGATTAAGTTTGGCGCTTTTGTTTTTGCTATTTATTTTGTGTTTTTGTTTTTGAGGCTTTTTCAGTTAATTTGTTTTTATGACTGTGTGGAACCCAGTTCAGCTACTGATTGATTAATTGATTAATTAATCCAAACAATGACTGTCATCAGTGCAGGTAACAAAAAAAAGTAATTTTAATTTTTATCATCTACAAGACTGTCTTATTTATTTTATACTATAGTATATTGATTATTGCTTTCATTTTATGGATTAATGGTCATAAAATTCATGTTAAATTGCTGTTTTAGGGGTTGTTTCTAAAAGTCTGGAACGGATTAATCCATTTTGCATTACTTTCTATGGGAAAGCACACCTTGGTTTTAGAATGCTTTGGTTTTGGAATGGATTTCCAGAACAGATTAATTTTGAGAACCAAGGTACCACTGTATTATTGTTGTTGTTGTTGTTGTTATTATTATTATTATTATTATTATTATTATTATTATTATTATTATTATTTACAAAGTCACAAAGCAGGCTGCTACTATTAGATGCCCCTGGGAGTCAGATGAAGGAATGTCAACATTCCTAGTCACTGAGCACTTGCAGATGGGCTGTCTGTGTGCATCATATTTGGTTGTTATCCCACATTTTCCATTGCAAAGATTCCTTCGCCTTTTTGTGATCAGAAAAGTGAAGGAATCGTTGTGTTAGAAAATGTGGGATAATGACCAGATATGGTGCATACAAACAGCACAAAAGTCCCATGGGAAAGTGATGGGTAATTGAAACTGGAAAGTGCAGGATGACAACCTTTAGCTGGCAATGCCATGTGACTGTTGCCCGGACGTATCAGGATCAATGCTCTGTAAACTGGTGATGTCATAGAACCCCCAGCAATATGCAAGCGCTGGGCAAACATATCATGTGTCATCAATAAACAACCAGTCATATACAGTGGTACCTCGGGTTACATATGCTTCAGGTTATATACGCTTCAGTTTACAGACTCCACTAACCCAGAAATAGTACCTCGGGTTAAGAACTTTGCTTCAGGATGAGAAAAGAAATCGTGCTCCAGCAGCGCAGTGGCAGCAGGAGGCCCCATTAGCTAAAGTGGTACCTCAGGTTAAGAACAGTTTCAGGTTAAGAACAGACCTCTGGAATGAATTAGGTATGTAACCAGAGGTACCACTGTAGATGAGGGATAAATAATAAAAGTAAAGTGGTACCTCAGTTTTCAAACATAATCCATTCCAGAAGACTGATTTCCAAAACGTTCGAAACCTGAGGTGCGGTCTGCCAATTCAATAGATAGAATTGTGAAAAACAACTGATATATGCAGTGGAAGCCGTTCGACTTCCAAGGCAAGTTCGAAAATGGAAGCATTTACTTCCAGGTTTCTGGTGTTTGAAAACCGAAACATTTGGCAATGGAGACATCCAAAAATTGAGGTTCCACAGTATTGTTGTTGCTGTTGTTGTTATCATTATTATTAAGGATGTCCCTATTTTCACCAGATAAATATTGGAGTGTATGCATTATTGAACTGAGAGAACTAAATATTACAACATCTGAACCACACCAAGTAGTTCATACTGGAGAAATCAACCTAAAGCGCACCCAAGGCCCTTCTGTGGCTGTACGTGATAGGAAGAGATTGAAAGTGGTGGAGAAATCACTGAGTCATACTCTGGATCAGACCAATGGATGCTTCTCCACCTTCCTGTTTCTCACAATGGCCACCCAGATGCCGTTGCCAAACCCATAAGCAGGATGTGAGTGCAAATGCTGACGCCCACTGTTGCTCTCCAGCAGCCGGCATTCATGGGTAAGTTGCAGCCTTAAAACACAAGATTAAAAACAGTTTTTAATCCACTTAAAACTCAGAAATAAGGTGGGTCCTAGAAATATACACCTCAGGTGTCAAAAGCCAGGGTAAACAGGGGCCTCTTCAGCATTTGAAGAAAGCTGTAATAATGAAGATGCCAGAGGCAGCTCTGGGGAAGGAGTTTCACAACTTAGGGGCCACCACCAAAAATGCCCTCTCCTGGGCCACCACCACCCTGAGCTTCTGAGGATGGTGGAACAACCAAGATGGCTCCCTTCCTTGCTCTTCAGAGCTAAGAGGGTTGTAGGCAAGGAAGAAGTCTTTCAGGTCAAAGTCATGAAGAGCTTTAAATGTGTGAAGCTTCAACTGGGTCCAGATACAAACTGACAACATGCCTAGCAGCCACTGCTAGGCTTATCCATAAATTTGCCCATTTCACTTTTAAAGCCAGTGGTTTGTTTTTTTCTTTAAAAAATGTTTAGGGGTACTCTCATTTTGACTCTAGAAAATTAGAATGATATAGTTCAAATCGGGGAAAATAAATACAGTAAATGGACCAAAGTACAAAGAACATACATAGGGGTAACAACGGAACTGACGATTCACCATTCTAGAGAAGAAACATTTTGTTTTGTTTTGTTTTAAAAAAGGTTTCTTCTCCTGTTAGATTCACAAAATGTTTAGGGGTATGCGTCCCCCCAGAAAAAAACACTGTTTAAAGCCATTGAAGCTGGTGATCATCACCACATCTTGGGGTACCGAACCTCATAGTTTAACTATGTGCATTGTGAGGAACCTTTTGTCCGTCCAGAATTTCTCAAGGTTCAGCTTCTTTAGATGTCCCTGAGTTCTAGCATTGGCAAGAGAGGATGAAAAGAAAAATTCTCTAGTCACTTTCTCCACAGCACATATAGTTTTATAAACCAATATTTTCTTCTTGCCCTGACTTTTTGGGTTTTGTAATACTAAAGCGCCCCCAATGCAGTCACAGAGCAGGCAGCCACTATTAGATGCCCCGGGGGTCAGATGAAGGAATGTCAACATTCCTAGTCAAAGGGCACTTGCAGATGGGCTGTTTGTGTGCATCATATGTGGTCATTATCCCACATTCTCCATTGCAAATATTCCTTCGCCTTTTTGTGATGAGAAAAGTGAAGGAATCATTGCGCTAGAAAATGTGGGATAACGACCAAATATGGTGCATACAAACAGCACAAAAGTCCCATGGAAAAGTGATGGGTAATTGAAACTGGAAAGTGCAGGTTGACAAACTTTAGCTGGCCATGCCATGTAACTGTTGCCCGGACAGATCAGGATCAATGCACTGTAAACTGGTGATGTCACAGAACCTCCAGCAACATGCAAGCTCTGGGCAAGCATAGCCTGAGTGTCCAATAAACAACAAGTCTGGAAACTCCCATAATTCCTCTCTCTCTCTCTTCCCTTTATTTTTTCATTAAAAAGACTCGCTGGTGACCACCATGTTATACAGGAAAGCAGAGAGGAACTAGAGTGATAGGTTACTAAGACAAACACCCCAAAATGCCTTCTCATAAAGCAAGCTTAATTTGCCCATTCAAATTCCTCTCCTTACCATTCATTTCCCTGTTGTGCGGCAATTCCATACACAGCATTGTATCCCTTGTTGGTCCTACTCAGAGTAAGCTGATCAGAATTAATAGATTTGAACCCTTTGACTCCATGGTCTTATCTGAGTAGGACTATTGTCAGATACAACCCACAGCCACTAACTGAGGCATCCCTGAGCATATCTATGCGGAACAGTAAACCTTTGTGGGTTTGTGGGGACATATGCCTAGGGAAATGTGAATGGATCGTAGACTTAAGTCTCATTAAACGGAAGTTGAGTAGGCCTGCTTGGGTTGTACTGTAAATGCCATACAGCCAACTCAAACTACACAATACTCTTCCTAGAACATAAAGTTCTTCATGGGCATTTCAAAGTTCTGCAATTATACATGTGAGAGATTTCAAAAGTTCTGCAATTACACATGTGAGAGATTTCAAAAGTTCTGCAATTATACATGTGAGAGATTTCAAAACTGCCACCTGAGTCCCCCCCCCAAAAAATTAGATCTGTCTCTAAACCTGTTTCAGTACTATTAATCAAAATAGATCTGTACACTTCCTATTCTTACAGGTGGGGTAGAGGTGGGGGGTCAGTTACACAAAACTCTTCAGCATTATCTGTGGTACAGAATCCTGTGTGATTTATAAACCTTGCATATACTAACAGCAAGGGCACGAGTCAAAATGAAAATATCATTCAATAGGGTTCCCTCCACTGAGAGGGCAGGAGTGTCATACAACAAGACAGGCCTCTTTTGCGACATTATGAAATTGCTTGTCATATAACCAGGAAATTCCAAAACAACTAACAGGCTTAAGATATCCCACCTGACTAAGCTGAAGAACCACCACTAATTAAGTAAAGAAATGTCTGTAGGAATAAGAAAGCAAATTCAATGAGAATTAAACACAGCCAACATTATGCATTTCCAAAGTCCTTTTGGTCTCAGCCCTCTGAAAACGATGGTTTCTAAAGCTTCTTACGTTTTGGCTGAATTTTGTATTCAACAAGAAGAAAAGTATTCTTACCTGCTTACAATGGCAGTAGTGTTCACCCAAACTCTCGCCAGGAGTCCTTCTGCCAATGAGCCTGTCCTGCTCTCTGATCAGAATAGCAACGCCGGGGAGAAGGTTTGCCAGAAATAAATACCTGCAAAAAGCAGAAGTGGTTATGCTTTGCAATCAGTTTTGCAAAGCCGATGGGCCATGAATAGTGCAATATGTGATGATGGGTTGGGCAAGCAATGGGTCCCTGGGGATGGTTGTTTGAGCATCAGTGATGCAGGATTTGTCTCAAATGGATCTGGGGCAGGTGGGCCAAGCCTCTCCTTGTGGCAGATGCATTCCCAAGTGTTTTGGCAACAGGTGTATATTCTGAACAGCCCGGAAAATGTCTTTTTAACCTGTCCTCAGTTGGTTAGAGCGTGGTGCTGATAACACCAAGGTTGCAGGTTCGATCCCTGTATGGGACAGCTGCATATTCCTGTATTGCAGAATCATAGCATAGCAGAATCATAGCAGGGGTTGGACTAGATGTTCCTTAGGGTCCCTACCAGCTCTACAGTTCTAATATTCTATTATCTAAATTACAGCGACTGTTACGCTTGAGTTACTGTTTCTCTTCTGCTTTGAAGTCTCCTGATCTTCGTAGGAAAGCCAACTTACTCCTGCAGTTATGTGCCAAATGATAACAAACCGAGGGGAGCAGAGATGGATACTATGCTGGGGAAAGACAGGAAATGCAATATCTATTCAGAGGGAATGCAGAGAATACAGTTTAAGCAAAAGTTTTAAACAAAAGGGGAAAAGACAGTTTATTCACCTTGCCCTCCCCACCCCCACATCAATGGGTTTAAGAGGACATTGCTGTGAGTTGGGTTGTGAGAAGGCTTACGGCCAGTCTAGAATAGAGTTGCCATATTTCAAAAGTGAAAATCCAAACACAAAAGTTTTGTTGTTGTTGTTTGAACTTTTTAGGCAAAATTGCAATTTTTAGGGGAAATCGCCAGAAACGACACTGCCAACATGGGTTACCATACGTCCAAATTTTCCTGGACATTTTGAGTGATTTCTGCCCAGACATTTCTTCCAACTGCAGTATTCCAGCTATGTCCAATAAATTCCTGACATATGGCAACCCTAGGAGATGTGATGTTTAATGCATAATTACACTGAATATGTCAAGATTTCAGTTCTTCTTAAATAGTGACTGTGGAGCAGGGGAACATGATCAGGGTATGGGATGGTGGCACACAGAGAGGAGGATTTAACCCCCCACCCACCCTGGTCCTGATTAAAATTGCCCCCTGCCGAACTAGATAAATCTGTCTGATTTCACTTTGCTTTTTCAAAGGCATTTCCATCCAGCCCCCAGCCATTGCGATTTGTGTGCAAAGTGACATAGATGAGCCCAAACAGGCAAATTCATCTGCAACATTAAATTAAAAATTACACACATTAAAACTCAGAGAGCATCGTTGTGGCCCTTATTTTAACAGCTGCCACTAGAAAATTTGCAGTCTTTGCAGTCACCGGCTTATCTGGATCTGCAAGGAGAAAAGTCACATAAAGAATCAGCTGAACACCACGGGTGAGATGATGATAATGGGGTGATTAACTCTCCACACAAATCTCTGCAAAAGGAGCAAAACAGCAATACAGGAGCTGGTATTTCAGTATTACCATCTCTGCATGAACACATGCGATTCTGAAAAGGAGTTCTCTTAAAACAGCCCTCAAGTACTGCTGAGAGCGGCACATTAAAACCACGAACCTGAGAGAGCTCTTCAATATTTTAGAATAGTTAGATGCTGTAGATAAGATGCCATTGTATAGAGAAGTTGGAAAACAATCATACCAGGGGCACAGTTTTCTCATTGCAGGCTGCTTGTTGTTCATTATCAAATAGGCATTGTCTCCTTACATTTTTTGCTTCGTTGAGACCTCAGTTTAGTTAACTGTTATAGTGAAAAGTCCAAAGGGCGTAATCTTAAACCGATGGCTTTCATCCAGCTGATTTCATGCAAATGAAGCAGAAATAAAGGAAGGAAGCCATTCAGTATCTACAGTGGTGCCCCGCAAGACGAATGCCTCGCAAGACGAAAAACTCGCTAGACGAAAGGGTTTTGCGGTTTTTGAACTGCTTCGCAAGACGAATTTCCCTATGGGCTTGCTTCGCAAGATGAAAACGTCTTGCTTTTTTTGCAAGTTTGTTTCCTTTTTCTTAACACCATTAATACAGTTGCGACTTGACTTCGAGGAGCAACTCATAGAACGCGGTGTGGTAGCCTTTTTTGAGGTTTTTGGTGATTTTTGAAGCTTTTCCAAAACTTTTCCGACACCGTGCTTCACAAGACGAAAAATTCGCTAGACGAAAAAACTCGCGGAACTAATTAATTTCGTCTTGCGAGGCACCACTGTATCTTTAAATGTCCTGAGCCAGGCCTGGATGAAAATGGAGGGGAGATCTGTGTCAAATCACAAAGATGCATTCAAAATATATCCTGGTTCAGAGAAAAATTGCCTGAAGAATTCAGACTGTACAACTTCCAGTGGGCATGAATTGGCTTCAGCCCAAATCTGAATCCCATAAAATTATTGAACTGAAGGTTTAACCTTAAAAACGTCAAGCACAGCAGGGATGAAATTATAACCTTTTGCTTGGAAGAAACTCATTAACATTTGAGTGCTCCATATAATTTTCCTGCCACGTGTTCTTGTTGAGCTGCCCATCTATGCCCAAATAGTTTTGAAAATTCTTACATGGTCAGTGAGCTATTTATCTAGATACCATGATGTGGGGTCTGTGTCATTTAGACCTGCTGTTCTGGAAGTACTACTAAAGCAAGGATTTACCATAGTTTTGAAATAATCGTATTATTATTTATTAAATTTGTATACCACACTTCATCCATAGATACAAAGCCTGTTTCTCTACCACTGAGCCATGGCCCTTCCCCAAGGAGTCTACTTGTGTGCATGTAACAGTGCAAACTGTTATGAGAATTATAAGGTCTAAAATATAAAATAAATGTTCATAAATGTACCAGGCAAACACATACTTAAATATATAAACCACATGTCTGAAACAGTACGGGAGAACAGTCCTAAAGCCATTTTGACTCTTTCAGTGACTTCAAATATTCCTCTGCAGTTTGGATGGAAATGGGAACAGCTTCCCCATTGTCTCTTTGCTCACAAATCCTGCCTTAAGGGCACATTTGGGTATGAAGAGGGTGAGCCTGTGGTCTAAACCACTGAGCCTCTTGGCTTGCTGATCAGAAGGTTAGCAATTCGAATCCCCGCGACGGAGTGAGCTCCCGTTGCTCGGTCCCTGCTCCTGCCAACCTAGCAGTTCGAAAGCACGCCAAAAAGTGCAAGTAGATAAATAGGTACTGCTCTGGCGGGAAGGTAAAAAGCGTTTCTGTGTGCTTCTCTGGTTTCACCAGAAGCAGCTTAGTCATGCTGGCCACATGACCCGGAAAAACTGTCTGCAGACCAACGTCGGCTCCCTCGGCCAGTAAAACAAGATGAGTGCCACAACCCTAGAGTCATCTGCGACTGGACTTACGGTAACTGTCAGGGGTCCTTTACCGTTACCTTTTTTAGGGTGAGCCTGTGACCTGGATTCAGGAATTAAGTATTTATCATCACAAAAGAATAGCCAGGCTATCCAGATAAATGCATTAACATGTTTCTGGCCAGAAAGGATTCTGCTGTAGACCGCCCCTTCTGTGATGTATATATGATGTATTGGGGGGGGGGGGTCTTGAGCTACAGGGTGGCAATTTCAAAAGTCTATGTAAGAGCTTGCACATCAATGTTCTGGGTTCCTCTCCTCCCTCCCTGCATGGGGTGAGCAGGGGACCCTGTTGCAACAGTTTAATAAAGATCATGCTTACTAGCTGCTTTGCTTCTCAATATTCTCTGGTTGGCCTCTGTTATTTTCTCCTACTGATAGAGAACCTACATAAGGACTCTATATGGGCTCTTGGATACCCAATAAGGGGAAAGGAGCAGCTTTTTCTTATAACACAGACATTAGACCATCTAAATCCTGAGTGCTCTCTCCTCCAAAGAAAGACCAAGCCTGAAACATGGGGACCAGCAAGAATTTTATCACGGGGGGGGAGTAAACATTAAAAAGGGGGTGCAGGCTATTTTCTCACAAAAATGTGAATGTGCCTTTTGTCTCATGTCTCAGGTTCTACAAATGCTAGAAACTTACTCTTTAACAAAATGAAATCTGTGATGATTATGGTTCATCCAAGAAGGCTAAGTGCCCCCCCTTGCCTGTCCTCCCAAAATCTTCCCACTGTCCAACACGTTCTGAAATTCTGCAGAATTTCCTTGCAAGTCTTAGAAGACCCAGTGGGGGGGGGGGTTGGTGTGGGCATTCATATGAACTAAGTCCTCAGCCCAATTTCCTTAAAATCATGAACTGAGTCTGGTTCAATGAGTTTCATCCTATAATAAGGAATATACCAGATGGTCTTAACCAATTTTTCCCCCTCAGGCAATCTTCTTCCTAAACTTGGGCATATGTCACCAACAGGATAACAGCAATGGGACCTGTAGCATGATTCATAATTAGGAAGAAAATTGAGGCTTTTTCTCTGTATCATGACTAACATCTTTTTAAAAAAATAAGTAAATTATTTTTATTGCAATTTAAAAACAGCATCTTTTCTCTTTACAATTATATTTATAATCTGTTTTTATTTCATTACATATTCATATTCATATTCATCCATTTCTCTATAATGCTTAACTTCCATCTACCTCGTAACAGCTTCTTCTCCTCTTTTTATTTCCTTTTCTTTTCTTTCCAATATATATTTAACCATTTCTTTATCTAGATTCTAGAATAACTCCTCCAATTTATTTTCATTCTGTGAAATTTACTCTAAACACACCCAAGTTTAGATTTGGGAACCATGTTTAGGCATATAATTTTTAAAACAATCCCATTCATTTTTCACTCTTAAGTTTGAGTGATTTCTTATTATCAAATAACATGTCTACATTGGGCTTTAGCCTCCCTTCTGGTGTTCTCAATCCAGAAAAGACCACTGTCCCTGCTAAATGCAAGTCTGGGAACAAAGG